GTTAGCTTTTTTCCAGTGAATTCTATTCATTCGTTCAAGATTTTCAAAATCAATGTTACAATCAGTTATCTGCCCTTCCCACAGATCACCATCAAATATCGTTTTGCCGTACAGGTTTTTAGTTTGTATCAGTTTTTTTCCCCGTTCGCAGTTTTTTATCTTTTCCTCTATTAGAGGTTTTACGGTATATAACTTCTACCTGATAAGTGATTCAAAAGGTCCAAGTAGTTTGGGAGCCGGTGGTGAGGGTAACTGTGTTGGTTCAACTCCCGGTTTGACATACAAACCGCCGAGACCCAAAGTGGTTCCCGCCTCGACCATCGGGACTTCAAACTCTGAAAAATTCTAAAGATTTTGAACTGATTTATGATAGTAATGTTGTGGTTTAGATATAACTTGTGAATTGAGGAAGTAGAAGTTTATAAAAATATGATCTTGAAGAAAACTGCCAACCTTGTTTGTAAACACTCATAATTGGATACATCCATCTTAAGTAGGTCATTACTTAGAATTTGTTTAGAGAAGTTATAGTTATGTTTCTGACGAATGAATTTTTCCTGACATATCGTTTTTCCTCTGCCTAATCATAAATTCAATAGAGAAAAGATAAGTGACACATGATGGTGAAAATTAAAATAAATCAATGGAAAAATTGAAATAGATCTTCTCTAATATCTGGGATCAAGATGAGCCGTTCGATGCGACTTGAGTGGTTTGGAGCCAAATGCACACAAAGCCAAAGGAGTCGAAACTCTTGAGCGGCGACTCGACGAGCTCTCAAGAAAGGTGACGAAAAAAATGACCGGTGGACGATCGAGTTGAGAGGATGGGAAGAGACTTTGGCATGCGTTTTCGCTCGTTTTTCAAATCTGACCTATTGTTTCGAGCACACAAAAATAAGGAGGGAATCGAACAAAAAAAGTGTCAAACTAGATGAGAAAACAAGGGGCGAAACGAGGATAGAGGAAAGAGAAACGAAGTTTTGGAGAATCTTTCCGCGCGGCGGCGGAGCAGCTTCGGCTTATGGTGGGGAAGGAGCGTGCGACAAATAAAAAGACAGTTGTCCTCGATTGTTTTTTTATTTTGCTTGTTGTGTTCCTTCTTTCCATCATCTCTATCTCTGATGTCGCGATGAGACGCAAAAAATGACACGCAAACTGTCAACCCCAAAAATGGAAAAAAAAACAAAAGAATGATGTTTGAGGAGAACGCTGAGATTCGGCAACGAGAAGCTTATGAAGCATATAGTCTATACCTTATTCTTTGGATTCTCGTTATTTATATTTTTACAGAAGCTGACACCTAAAAGAGCAATTTTTGATTTTAACAAATTTGAAAGTGAGATCACAATACTGTATTTCCTCCAATAGTAGCCCACCCAAACCATTAAGTTTGAGCTCACATGTCTGGATTCCTCTAAAAGATCAAAGGTTTGTCAACTGATAAATTATTTGTCAAAGTATCACCAAAATTTCACTAATTGACTTATTTTTGATATCTTTTACTGAACTGATATGAATACTGGAAGAAATACGGTATATTAAAACCTTACACAAAAAGTTGTGACAGTGATAAGAGAAATTTCTAGACACCGTGAGTTTATCAAGCAACCAGAAAATTCAGAAGTTGATTTTCATTACAGAATTCATAAACTTGAGAGTTGAAAATACATGTCGATTACGGTAGAATAGTACCTTAATTTCGAACTTTATACTAAATTCGCAGTGTTATCAGGTAAAACCATAAGAAAAATAAATTGAAAACAATTTAGAATGAATGTTCAAATGACCAAGCACTTACCCATTTACGAGAATAAAAAAACTGGGCGCGGACACCAGAAAAGCTGATTAGGCGGCCCGTATTGAAAAGTGGAAGAAAGTCTTCAATCGCAGATTGTTTTTCCTTTTTTTTCGAACGGAAAAATATGCGGATAGTGAAATAATAATTGATAGTTACTTCAAAAAGTGAAACTGTTCTGTGTTTCGTTTATCGAAAATCGTTGTATAATTGGACAGTTAACAGATGGACAAAAAAGAGAAAAGAGGGGCGGGTTAAAGGATTTTGAACTGTATGTGTAGGTAAACGGGGAGAGGGAAAAAGTGGACAAGTAGTGATTCATGAGAAAGTAGAAGTGATTTGAATAAGTACTTGAGGGATTGGAAGAAAAATAACTAGTCTGGATTTAAGAGATTGATTTGGAAAAAAAGTAGAAAAAGAAATGAAAAGAAGATGGAATGAGAACAAGTGAAGATTGAAACCCATAAAACTTTCAGCGAACATTTTATGTAAGTTTTGCAGTATGAAAACTTTCAAATGTCGATAGAGCTAACATTACATTATTTTTCAGTCTTAAAGCACAGTTTAAAATAAAAGAGTATCAATTTTCTGTTAAATGCAGATTTTCAGAATACTCTGCATATTAATGTGTGAATCATTGTAAAGTTGATATTTTGAAAATTTTTATCTTCCTGAATCATCATCCGATTGAATCGTTTGTTCAGGTTGGTAACCGAAACAAAAAACCGACACAAACCACAGTTTGAATAGTGTTGATCTATGGGAAACAACAAAGTGTTCTTCCGGGTGATTAACAGAGATTTCCAGAATTCGGGTTTCGTATTTCGTAGTTAATATTTCGTATTTAGTGTTCCATATTCCGTATCCTAGATTCCGTTCTCCGGATTTCGTGATTTTTTCATTCCGGATTCCAAGAAAGTTTTTCATTCCGCAATCTGTTTTTCAAAAAATCATTCCAGACATCTGGCATTTAACTAAATCTCATGGTACACCAGGAAGAAATGGGCTCGTGACTGATCCTATTACTGTACTTTTTTTGAGGTTCTTGAAACATTGAAGTGTTTGCAGAATTTCTTGAATCAGTTCACAAAAAAAACTGTTTATTATCAATAGAAAAGGTCCTAAATATAAGAGATCCGAACAGCCAAAGAGACAGAAAAGTGAGATAAACTCGTTGAGAATAACAGTGAAATGGAAGAGGGGAACCCGTTGAAAAATTATAAGCATCATAAATTTGAAAATTCTAGAGTTTATCAATTATCAGACTGGTGTGCCCGATGCAAGTTCTTCTTTTGATCGGAACGTTGGAAGACTCAGGAACCTTCGGGAACCAGAACCGTCGGTGCTTACTAGCTTGGAAGAGCAGAAGTCTCCGTTAACAGCGTGGATGTTTCTGAAATTGAAATTATAATTTAGGGTTATATTGAAAGGGAAATCACCTGTAAACAGTGGAAGTTTCCAGTTTGTCAAATGTTGCAATCTTGGTAACACCGAGTAGATCAAGAACTTGTTTTCTGTAAATTATAAAGTTTCCGAATCTCCAAATGCAATTTTTAATACCTTAATGTTTTGGAGCAGATCAACAACAGAAATGGATTGAGTGCCGAGTTCGCGGCAAAGAGTACCATTACCGTATACCCTGCCCATTTTCCTTCTCCAGTTCCAACTGTAATCAACACTTGTCCAATGATAAAAGTGACGACATTGATCAAACAAGGCATCAGTAATCTGGAATTCAAAAATCATTTCATTTTCTATTTTTGCTGTTCCAACAGTACCTTGTTTCAATGCTGTTCTGAACTGTTTGTTGGTGTCCCAGTAGCATTTTAGCTCTTCTATTGTAGAGGAGTGTGATCGACCAACTGAAAATGAAAAATAGTAATTCGATATTTTATTTCTTTTTGGGTGGGAGGCTCATCGTTTATTTTCTAAATCCCTTTTCTCTCAGAAGCCAATGATTCATGAGCAGAATTCCAAAAGGAGAGAAAAAAAATCAAAAGAAAAACGAACTCACATGACAGAGATTAGAAAGATTTGGAATTCAAACCATCAATTTTTTCAAATTGGAAATGATCAAATGTGTGATTTTTGTTACATTTCATTTGATATTGAGAGAAATAGAGACCAAAAGCTATATTGGAGTCAATTTCAGTGATGATATCATATTTCTAGAAGGAATCGTCACGATATTCGAAAGTGTGAGAAATCGAACTTCAGAGATCCTTTTACACTCACCCATAGAATACAATCGGTGGAATAATTGCAGCAATGTGGAATGCCAGAAAAAGAGCTGATTGACCTCCTGATAGGTAGAGGGGAAAGTTTTCAGCAAGCATCCCATAGGACGATGGTTCGTAGTAGAATGTCACGTACCATGGTTGGAAATGGGTACACAGAACCTGCAAAGAATGAATTAATAAGGTCATCAACGAGTAATGAATGTTAAACTTTCATCGTTAACCCCGGAAACTTCATAGTATGAAGTTCATACTGATCTTCTATTTTGTGAACCTTGTTTTTTCTTCCGTCTTACCTAACCCTTAATCTTCCTTAAGTCTTGACGCTATTTTCATATGTAATGCGTTCTTCTATTCAAAACAACAGAAATTCAAAAAACAAGCATCTACAGTTGTTGTCTCCCGCTTAATCATACCCCCATCACTCATCAGTCTTCTTTTTTTTCTCAGTAGAAATATGTCGTGGTGGTGGTGGTGAAGAAGCATGACGGCTCCAATTACACATCGTGTCCTGGCGCCACCACCCAATCCATGAAATATTCTGTTTACATATTCCTCTTCATTCAATTCTCTTTCTCGTTTTCGTTTTTCATATGCAATTAGTTTTTTGTAAAGAAGAATTCAAAAGAGAAGAGGACGATCGGTCATGTGTAAAAGTGCAAAAACAAACATTTTTGATATGAAAAGAGCCATCCCAAACTTGATGTTTTCTCTTTCTGAATGCTTCGTTTTAAAAATATCTTTTAGAAACATAAGAATGGAGGTGTGAGATTGTTGAATAGAAGAAACGACGTGGGTACAGAATACAGAATCGAGTTGAAGCTAACTCAGAATTTGGTATCACTTTTTTCTTTCTTTGTTTGCAAGTAAGTCTTACCAGAATAAGTGCGACGAGGTAACACAAAGCGCACAGCAAATACGACGACTTCCGTCGCTGGTTCCTGAAGTCGAGCGGTTTTCGAATAGCCATCCATCTGGACCAGCTAACAACCGAATAGTGGGATACCATCGAGAACCACGCCCAATCAAGATATAACTGAAAAATTGATTGAATGTGAGGGAACTTATTTTAGGATCTTACCTGCTGCCACGTCCTCCAAGACTTTGGAATGATTTCAGATTTCAATAGTATCGTCAACCCTGGCCAGATACCGTAGTTGACCAATAAAAGGAGATCAGAACATCCGGCAGATATTAGGAAACGATATCCAACGATTTCTTTGTCTTGTCTTTTCATGATCTTCATCATAATTCCGTACACTGATATTGAGAAAATCGCAATGAAAATAAGACTGAAGCCGGCGAAAAGATCCTCCAAAGATAACGGACTCAATCGCCACTCGTCCGCATTGTTCATAACTGAAAATATTAGGATAAAATGGAAAAAAGGTCAATTTTCATAATGGGATACAAGAAGAACACATATGAATGACCCCTTTCTTCTGCTCATGTCCATCACGAATCTTTAATGTGTTTTACATCCCAAACGCATTAGTTGGATTGACTTCAAACCTACGTCAGGTGCATCTTCTTTGCACACCATCTCGTTTCCGATTCGAGTTTTTTCTTTGTCAAGAAAAGGATACCAAAAACAGGAAAAAGGAGGAGAAGGGAGAGGTGTGTCATGTTTTGAATATGTTCGTAGTTTTTGGAGGAAAGAATAGGATTGGTCAAGTGTGAAAGAATAAGAAAAAGAATAGAAGAGAACTCCGGGGAGAAATGGATTCTTGGAAAAATAATCTAGCTTTTTAGCATTCGAAAATTTCTGGAGAAGTTTCGAGAATACTATCTATCATGTGGTACTATACAGTAGTTTTACAGGACATAACATAAGTTGATTATTCAGATACAAGAGCTAGAAAGTAAACCGAAAGTCAGAAAAAATGAACGGAAATTAGTAACTTCTCATAGTCAATCCATAGAAAAATAAACAAAAAAAAATTCTGATTTGATTTGTAAATACACTGGCGTGGCTGAACGTATACAATTTTCAAAAGAACAAAAGAGCAAACCCCAATCCGTTTGAAAAACCAGAATACGAAAAAAGGCTTTCCTGGCTTACTACGGTTGAACCTGTAATAAAAGGGCCCTTCTAAATTTTTAATTTGAGCCGATTTATCTCGTTTCCTTTGAAAGGTATAAAAAATTTGTCAACTGATAAATTGTTTATCATAATATAAAAAAATTGATTCATTGTCCTATTTTTGATATATTGCACAGGTGCAAAGAAAAATTAGCTCAAACTTGATAGTGTATGGGGCACAAGTTGCTCCTTGTAAATGGGCAACCCTAATTGATTTGGACTACAATTGTCCAATAGAAAATCCGAAGTTTAAAAATCGGGGTTTTTGGTATTTCGTGGAAATCAACACTTACAACTAAAATACCGATATTTGTGACCCAAATAACTGAGCTCAGGAAAGCTAGAACGCAACTGAAAGTAAATTAATGCTAATTTAATCACCTAGGCTTTCTAATGTTTTTGTTCCCCCATAAAACCTAACTGAGATTCCCTAATACCTATCTACGACACATATGAATTTGAAGGATGAGTTTCCGATGATACAGGATTACACCATATTCAATCGTCATCAATGACTTACCCTTCCGAGGAATCTGCCATGCTCTCATTTTCGATGCGAACACAGATGGAATTTAAAAGTAATAGTATACAGCTACAAGACACTGAGATTTTGCCGCGAATATTCTCGATTTTTGCTTCTTCTTCTTCTTCCAACACAGAAACGCTGCTCTTGTGCTCTCTACCCTCCTACACATACACACCCTCGGACACGACTCCGCCCATTTTGGAGGATTGAATAAAAAAGCAATTGGGTGTGAGATAATGAGGAAGAGGCGAAAAAAGGAGAAGAATAGACACGGGTTGAAACTGAGACGAATGGGTGAAAATGGCGGTGAAGAAATGGAAGGGGGATGGTGCTTGAGATAAAAGGAAAAAATCGAAAAGAGCAAAAGCTCATTTCTATTCTTCAAGCCATTTTTATTGTTCTTTTCTGACTGTTTTTGCGCCACATTTTTGAAATATCTCAAGGAAAAAACTTTGATGTTTTCTAGAAAAGTTTAATAACGAATCCTGGTTGATTTGTTTTTGTGATCATCCAGATGTTCAATAATAATGCTTAGGTTTTATTGAGAAAAACCTTTGAGGTTCATGGAATACTAAAGTTCCGGCTCAGATTATACTGTTATTTGATTGTTACGAAGCTAAATGCACCAAGTGGTTTTTGAGATTATATTAGAAAAGTTGGATCGTTTCAAAACTTTTTCGGTTAATATAAGGTTTACCGTTAAACCTGTAATAAAAAGGGCCCACAATATCAAACTTGAGCTAATTTTTCTTGGCTCCTATGCAAGATATGAGAAATCTGTCAACTGATACATTTTTTGGGATATTTTGATAAACAGTTTATCAGTTGACAAGTAACCGAAATAGGCTGTCTCAAATGTAAAAGATAGGGTGCCCTTCTATTACAGGTTTTACGGTAAATCAAAAGTAATTCGAACTCATTCTCTGAGACCATAAAAATAATCGCAACTCAAAACAGTTCAAGGAATTAGTTGAAGCCAATTTAAAGTTCGACTATTATTCAATCTAGTTTTCTCCACTACACGATTTTTGACTACAATCACATGATAAAATAAGTTCTACCTACACGGAATAAATTACGGAGTTCGGATTCATAGAACTCGTTCAAACCAGGAAAAATAAAAACGCAGAGATCTTTTTCGGTCGCGAAGATCCTACAATTGATAACAGATTCTAAAAAAATACGGAGGCAAATATTGAGTCAGACCTCCGGAAGAGAGGTGTCTTCCTTCTTCTTTCCTCCCTTTCCTCCATCATTTTCCATCTCCTCACGCTTTCATAATTTCAGTCCGTTCTACGTGCCTTCCATAGAATTTCTGAATCATTTTCTGTTTGCTCTTCTGGAAAGACAGAAAGGACTGCGTGGCTCGAACTGAATTAAATTATAGGTGCTCCTTGTAGACACTCCAATTAGGCATAATAAACAAGTTGTAGTGCGGACGGAACTCACGAGACCTTTATAAATAAAGACCGGTTCTAGAAATAAGAAATTTCCAAGTTCAGAAATCTATTGGTCAGCTGGGTGGCAGTTCATGGGAAAAACAAATCACATCTGCTCAAAACTCAATTACTTTTTAATTACCTGTATCATAACACTTCTCTATTATGATCTTCCAAAGGATTTTAATTTAAAAACAGGATTAGATTAATTTAAGAACCAAATAGTGACACATCCCAAAAAAAAGTCAATGACATCTATATATCCCCCTCAAAACAGGAATCTAATCCCCTGGTGTTCAGTGACGTAAAAATTGAAGAATGTGTAGAAGAAACAAATGGATTCGTATACAAATTGACAAGAGCACACTGACAAAGTTGTACTTCCATTCGTCAGTCAGTCCAGAATATTCTCGACTGGTTCCAGTTTAATGTATGCAAAGTTTATAAGCAGCCACGTGGGTCGACAACATAAATCAGAACTTTTCAGAGATGATTTTATTGCGGCGGATTATGCAAGAAAGTGTCGTCTGTTCTGACCATTATTCAACTTTTTTGAAGAAGAATGGAGAAGAGTAGTTTGAACTTTGTTGTTTGGTTTACAGTCAACTATTATTCTAGACAGTCTTACTTCGAATTCTCAGAAAGTTGAACTTCAACTTTTGAAAGTTTTGTCTTCTGGTATCAAAGAAAAGGTGAAGTGACCTTCAAAAATTATTGGGAAGTTCCCGACACATCAGAAAACCTTATTCGAACTCAAATGTTGAAACAGAAGAAATTTTTATCATAAAATAAAATATTTAATCAGTTGACGTGCTCTTGATAGCTTGAAAAATTAGCTCAAACTTGACAGCGTGGAGCCCTTCTATTACAGCTTCTACGGTATGTACAGGTGCGCACAGTGATATTTCCGAGACTAAATTTTCAGTTTTGACAAGTTTCAAAAAGACTACCTCTGTTGTTTTCTGTTTGATATTATTTATCAGAACGTTGTATTCAACCACTTAAAAAACTTTTATACTTTTAAATATTCAACATCTTCCCCTTCCTCTTTATATTACTAGCGACATCTTTCGGTTTTCTTGTCCCAAACACACCTCCTTGCTCTTCAAAACTTTTAAACGACTACACCGGAAACTTCGCATATCATTCTCAGAAGTCATCGAATAAATATGAAGTTGCACTCATTTGAGGTGCTTCTTCTAGTCTGTTCTGAAACTTCTTCATTATCAAACCAACGATCGAATTGTGGTTTCAATTGCAGTTTAAGATTAGAAGCCAAATCTAAATTGGACCCTGGCAAATACTATTAATCTTCTGCTGAAATATGCAACCACTGAGAGGTCATAACGGATTATTGAGCAAGAAAATGAGAGGGAGAGGGGGATTTTGTTTTGAAGAAAATGGCGGATGAAAATTTGCGAAGACTAAATTGGTTTTGAAAAGAACAGGGGGATTTTGCATTGGACTTTGCATCACAAGGATTATTCTGTATAGATACGAATTTGTAGAAGAAAAAACATTTGTTAGTCATGTGATCTTCAAAAAAATCTAGAGATCTAGGAAAAAATCTACAAGGGATCTGCATAGACTGACAGACCTTGAAAATCGTGTAACTACAAAATAAGATTTCTAGTTTATAGTTGTGAAAATACGTTCAGGAAACTTTTTGTGGGAATTTTTGGGAAAGAGATCTAGTTAAATTCACCAAAAAACGAGGAAGAACACCTACAAAATGGTTTAAATCGGCAAAAAATCTAGAGAACAAAATAGTAAGAAATTGAGAAGCTACTTATCTTAAAATATTGGAAACATTAGGAGTGGTAGTTTTTAAACATTAAAACATTTTTCTAACACAAATCAAACAAATTGACAAGATAGTTTCCCGAAACATTTATTCGGGAAATTTCCCAAAAAAAATTTTGAGAAAATTTCTGTCGGTAAACTTTCGGGATACCCGAGAAAACAAGATTTTTGATTTCCAGATTTGAACAAGTATGTTTATATGTAGTATTACAGAAAATCCTGGCTCACTGCTATAGGCAAGCAATGTTTACAGTATTCCCAGTTTCAAAATGGTTGATTGTTTCCTAATATGCATCAGCAATAAACTTATATCATTAAAGGTTCCTACATTAACCTGACGTTTATAGTACTAATAATAACATGTTACAAAACAAATGACATCAATAAGAAGATCTAAAAAAAAGTTTGATCACATGAATTCGAACAGAATTAGAAAGAAAGTACCATAAAAGTTGGAAGTATATGAAGAAGAAAAAGAAAGATGGATTACTTGTGATGTGAAATTCAATATTCCATTATCCGAATATATCCGTTCCAGCTACTATATATGCAAACATGAAAAGGTCTGAAAAAGGGAAAAAGAAAAATTTTGAAAAGTAGTTGGAAGCGAAGAATCAATTGATATGAAAAATAGATAAGGGAATATTTGTTTGTTGACTGTTTGACCTCCTTTTTTTCATGCTCATTGGTTTTGAAGAATGCAAATTTTTGAGGAGGTGGAGGTCGAAAACTTTTGAGGAACTTTTTGAAAAACGTTGCAAGAAAATTTGCTACGACATGGACAGAGTTGAAAAAAAAGATGAAAAAGAGAAATGAAAAAAGTTATGAAGCTGAAGAAGCAGGTCATAAAACGTAATGAGGCAGAAGAAAGTTTGGAAGAATTCTTATCGAAATTTCAGAAAAAAGAATTGCGGTCTTCTTATTTTTTCAGACATTTCTTTTTAATCTCAATTGTTTCGTTGTGAAGATCAAACTATTACGGATACAAGATTATGAAAATTCCCAAGTAAGCATCACCTGCTTCAAATCCCTAATCACGTTTTAACAATGGCCGATCACAAGATTTCAAGGAAGAAGCATAGACAGAAGTAAAGGGCTTCATGGATGTGAAATTCTCAATTCTAAATTCAGAAATCAAAGTGAGATGACACCCGAAAATGTTTGAACAGACGACGCTTTTTGTGTGCTAACAAGTGAGTCGGGTAGTGGGAAAAATAAAACCAAAGAATCGGAATGAACAATCTTTGAATTAGTTAATGGTAATGGTTAGTTGTGATTGGTCTAATGGATGACCACACGGAAGTCGGTAATTCTAGAACTTGAGTCATTTTCACCGAAATTGTGAAAAGAGAGTCTTTCTAGGTAACACGGACATCGTGATTTTGGTCAGTCTGGGAAATAAAAACTTTCTTGATACATCTGTATTTTCCAAGTAGCTCGAAATTCAAACTTCAAATCAGGAGAATGTTTTTTAAAATTATTCTGGGAATTTTCTTATGCCTATCCTTGTGATATTTGTGGAAGTGTCGAAACAAGGATCCGTGATTTCAGGAAAGGAACGGATATATGAAAATATTTTATTTTTATTCTGAGGAATCACTACTTATCTGAGAATTTCCTTCAACTAAAAGAACACAATGTATCAAAATATTTACAGAACCTAGGACAATTTATTACAGAGTTTAATAATTCAAAAAAAAAACAATTCTCTCGATTCATACAGTACCCGAGTGATCTTGACCACTTTCATCAAAACATTCGTACGTTTCAGGTTGCCGAGGTCCTTCAAGTTCAAAAAACGCACGAAACAATAACATGGATATAGCATCAGCCATCTGACTTTGTTTCGAAACATTGTCGGAGGAGAGAACGGATGTCCGAAAATGACGCAAAAACCAATCCGTCATCGTCTTTCGGCACTTCAAAAGGTCGGGAATAAGCATACACCGTGTTTACACCCGAAGTGCTTTTTCGAAATCTTGCAAACTGTCCGCGACAGGGGGCAAACTCTCACATGGAAACGAACTGTCTGCGGGGGCGCTGTTTGGGAAAATTGGGGATTAACCGAGAAGTGAGAAATTGAAATTGAAAAAAAAGAAGAAGAACAGAAGACAGGTGAGTTTTTCTGGGGAAAATAATTCCAGAAGAAATGCCACGAGGATGGGTAAACAAGCCCTAAAATTGAATCAGCTCGGAAGGTGGACCATAGAAAAAAGGAAGAAAAAGAAGAGAGCAGAGGACGAGACTTTGTAGAATTGAAAGAAGGATTACTAAAAAATGCAGGCGTTGGCATGAAAGAAAGAGTTTTATTAGAATCTTAACGTTCGTAAATATTTTTACGACTCACTCGGCTCGGAAGTTCCAATTTTTGAGAAATGGAAAAGAAAATTTTCTTGATAAAATTATGTTGAATAAAACTTCGGTAATTTTCCCGGCTAAGAACTTGGGGTACAACGGGAAAGCGATTTAGAGGTACAAAATTCAGTTGGATTTTTTAGCTCTTTTCTAGTTTAGACGTCCCAAAATAAAATAGAGGTCCAAAAAAAGTTTGGAGGTCTACCACACAAAAGTTACGACAAATTTGAAGACAAAAATTGTGCTTGTACGTATTACCATCCGAATAATTTTCAGTTTTTCATGTGATCTCTAAAATAAAAAAAATAATAGTTTTGACATTAGAAATGACATGAAAAATATTTCAGATGTTAATTTATACAATATTGAGTATATAGGTCACAGTAAAGAAAATAAAACAATGGATGATCTTTCTTAGCCACTAATCTTCTGATTCTTCATATTCAAGGATCACTTTTTGATGGCCACAGATGCACATTTAGCCACCGGATATCCTTGATAATTTTATTTATTTCTGTTGGTGAAAATTCAAAACACAGCAGAAGTTTCACTTGATAAAGAAAAAATAGTCTTTGTGCAAACAGCAAGTAATTTTAGAAAGGGACACACAAAAAGTGAGAAGTGACCCATTGAGCAACTCAAAAACTTTTTTCAAGGTATCGTCTCACGTTTCAAGTATCATTTTCACCAAAACGACGTATGAATAATTGAGAACTGAAAATTGTAAAAATGGTGGGAAAGTCGAGAAACTTCGGACAATTTTAAGAGAACTGGAAATGAGTCAGAAAGAAAAAGGTTTTTACCAACACGAATTCTGAAGAGGGATTACTGAAAATGGATAGAAAAATGGGGAAAAGAGGATAAGGCAGGAAGGGAATTGTATTTTGAGAAAACGAAATAATGACATTAAGCAAAAAAGAAAGATATAGTAGCGATGAATACAAGATATGACTGGAAATAATCAAGAAAATATTGTGATATCTGTGTCTACATCATGTTTTTATATGTAATGAACACCCACATTGTCTGGTCAGTAGAAACTGCTGTTCTGATGATAATAATCAGAAAATATTATGATGTTTTTCTACAAAAAGTAAGTATCGGCTCCAAGAAAGATTACCAGTTCAATATGTTGGTGAAATACCTAAGTTGAATCCGTATTGAGTAGCCAGAAACTGGTTTGCTGAAAGCTTGAATTACTGAACGAGCGACTTTTCAAAAATGAGCAAACTGCATATTCTGTGTTCTTTCTCTGATGTTGAACCCTAATTATCTCGGTCTGATTTCAATCAGCTGCTAATTTATAACACTTTGACAGCTCTTAGTCCGATTTTGTTTTGTGCTTCTATGATTCTTCTGGGAAAAATAAAATGGAGACTACGGTACTCCAGCTTTGGATAGTGTTTATATATCTTTGATTTTTAGAGAAGAAGCTTTATTGTTAGTTTCCCTCACTGTTTTCAGTTTTTTCTGTGGTCTGCAAGTTTTCCACCGAACCCGCATAGGTTTCCGAATAAACAAATACCGTAAAACCTGTAATAGAAGGGCCCCTCACTATCAAGTTTGTGCACAATTACCTTGATTCCTATGCGAAATATCAAAAATGTGTCAACTGACAATTTTTTTTGTTTTGAATTTTAAGTTTTTTTCGAGTTACCGTATTTCCTCTAATAGAACTGTAACTTTCTTCAAAATAGAGCTGAAGCATCAAACTTTTCTGTTAAATGTAGCAAATCACCCGAGAAAAATGATTCAAAACACTCTCAACTTGGAAATCAAAAGAACAAATTTTAGCAAAAAAGTTCACTTTTCAGAAAAATTCAGATTTTTGGGTGTTTTTTTCGAAAATCTGGAATAAATGGAAAACTATCATGGTTGTGAAATATAACATTTTTAACATAATGAAAAGAGTTTGACCGATTTTTAAGCAAATCATACCTCATCAAAGTACAATTCCGTGTATGGTATGGTTGCTCAAAGTGTCAACTAGAGATTTCCTGGACTTTTCCAACTATCGTTCCATAATTTCAAGTGATCAATATTTGGTACATTTTTGTTTTTAGCATTTTTCAGGTGTCATTCTACAATATCTAATCATTTTCCACTCGAAAAGATAATTCTTTAAGCTCCAAACACTGGTTTTTTTTAATTGTGAGACCCTCTAAAACCAGCATGATGTACACTTTTAGTCATTCTGGTAGACTCGGTTGAGGGATTTCAGCATTTTTTCTGTAGGTAGCAAAACTACAGTACAGTCAAATTCTAGAAAACATGCTACACGTTTGCGGAATGTTCATTCCTGACTCACAGGGTCTGTTTTCTTTCGCAGTTCAAGATATACAATTCCTGTGTTCGTTCATATTGATAATTCGTTTTTGAAAGTGATGGAATCTTATGTTAATTATCCTCGAACAATTACAACAACTTCTTCTCACAAATTAAAAGTTAAAATTGTTGGATGTAAGACTCAGGAAATGAAACTGAACCAGTGTTCTGTTTGATCCACAATTCAGTCAAGAAAATCATTTTTGAAATGACTTCTATCGTTTCCATGGGCATCCCGCAAACGGAAAGCATGTTTTATAGGATTCAAAGAAGCTGTAGCTTTGATATCTACAAGACAAATTACCGAAATCTCTCAACCGAGTCTACCAGAATGACTAAAATTGTACATCATGCTGGTTTTAGAGAGTCTCACAGTTTAAAAAACCAGTGTTTGGAGCTTAAAGAATTATCTTTTCGAGTGGAAAATAATTAGATATTGTAGAATGACACCTGAAAAATGCTAAAAACAAAAAAGTGCCAAATATTGATCACTTGTAATTGTGGAACGATAGTTGGAAAAGTCCAGAAGCCGGAAATCTCTAGTTGACGCTTTGAGCAACCCATCACAACCATGATAGTTTTCTATTTTTCCAGATTTTCGAAAAAAAAACACCCAAAAATCTGAATTTTTCCGAAATGTGCATTTTTTTCGCTAAAATTTTTTCTTTTGATTTTCAAGTTACGAGTATTTTTGCATCATTTTTCTCGAGTGATTTGCTACATTTAACAGACAAGTTTGATGTTTCAGCTCTATTTTGAAGAAAGTTACAGTCGAAAAACACAAATTGTATATCTTATTGACCGGTACTGTTTTTGAAGCCCACCTCTAATAGAAACCCACCGTCCAAAGTGCTTAAAAACATAAAAGCGAATCTTGTAACAGAAGTTCATGCAGTTCAGTTATAATGCAGTTTGAACAGTTCAGTTCGTCTATTCGGTTAAAAAATAGAAGTCCATGGGCTTCAATTAGAGGAAATACGGTATTCCTATTTATCGTATCAGGACCGAGCTTAGTCGGGAAATCATATTCGGAAAATCGGATGCGCGTTTTTTTCTTCAAAATCAGATAATCCGTTTTTCGATTCCGAGCAAGCTTGATCAGGGCCATACTCGTTCTATAAAGCATTGAACTATTTTCACAACATTTGGATTAAAAATGTATTTTTTGTAATTAGTTTGTATCAGAAAAGTTCTAACCCAAAACCTTTTCCTTTCACAGACCCTTAATTTCCCATTTATAAACTGTTCTCTGTATTTCTGCTAATTCAAAACCAGTCAACGTCATCATCTATCATTCTTCTATTTTTTTTCTCTCGTATCAGATTAGGACATCGAATCCTCTTTTCCCCTTTAGAAGACACTGTGTTCTCCATTTTGAAAGATCACATCAAACCAGTTTCAAGGTCATTCCTTCCACGTGGCACGAATTCTTCCCCTATCTTCAGTTTCTGTTATCACATTCTTACACAAACAAAATCGTTCTTTGGAGTATCAGGGGAATCGTTGAGAAACAGGTCGTTATAACGATAATTCAAAGATGAAACACAGTTGATCGACACGTTGAGAAATTCTCTCTGAAAAAAGAAGAAGAAGAAGACAAGGACATCAATCAACCTGCAGGAAATGATGATGACGATATGCAGTTCAAAGGGCGAATGGAATCAAAACACGCAGTGATTCGAATCACTTCCCGCGCAATCGTCATTAATTAGAGAGACAAATAAAGAAAGTGACATAAAATTTGAAAATTGGTTTTTATTTTTATTCGTCAGACACTTTGGTATTTCTAGACATGATGAAACGAAAAGATTGATAGGAATTGAGACACATACTTTCACATCATACATCACTTAAACTACACTTTTTAAATACGATCCAATTTTCAGACTTACCGTAGAACCTGTTATAGAAGGGCCCCACTTTTAATTTTGCGCTATTTGTCTCAGTTCCTGTGGAAGATTCCAGAAAGTTGTCAACTGATAAATTGCTCATCGTGATATCAGAAGTTTTTTGTCAGCTGACGTCTCATATCTTGCATAGGAGCCAAGAAAATTGAGCTCAGACTTAATAGTGTGGGGCCCTTCTGTTAAAGGTTTTACAGTATTCAATAGTAGATTTCAGGGTCAGGTTTGTTCCTACCTGCAAAAGTAAAAATGAAATTTGAACCATGCAAACCAAGAATTTCAGAATCATCCTGGTGTTAAAATCAGAATTAATGCATTTACTCTTATAGTACGACACCCCGTGTCGGCACTTGTTATCTGAAAAAAAGTTTCATTAAGATTTTTGTTATTCGAGCAGTTGGTATACTTCCAGAAATCAAAATATACATTTGCAAAGGATATGATTTTGCATATCTTTTAGAGTATCTTGGTTTCATTCTCTAAAATGTTCGAAACATGGATAAAACTCCACTGTCTGACATCATAATTCAACTTTCAGATCTTATTCCGAAAATAATAGGAACATTGGAGAGTTCATAATTTTACAGTATCCCACTTTTATAAGTCCGATTCCCATATGCGCTTCGAGTTTCTTCGTTTGAACTTTAAACTTTAAACTCAATTTCGTTTTGTTTATGCATAGAATTCGTATTTGATCTCTTTTCTGATTATTCCGTTCCAGTATAAACCGATAGATATACCTAATTGACCAGATTACAGTTTCTTTGTTGGTTCTTAAAGATACATCTAAAATACGCTCATACCTATATTAAGACATCCCAAATTTTAAAGGACATTCCCTCGGATCCACTCCGAAGACCTCCCGCGCAACGCACTTTATCTCTGAGGATGCCTACGTGCAAACAGAGACAATCCTATTGGTTGTTCTTTTCCTTTCGTTTTTTTTTTCGTTTTCTTCAACTTGCTCTTTTCTCTGGTTGTGACGTCATCCAGCTCGAATTTCCTTCCCTTCAAAAACTATTTGTGAGAGCACCAGGAAAAGAAGAATAAGAAGAAGAAGAAGAGTAAAATGGATTCGAAAGTGTGTGTGCAGCGGCAATCAGTCTGCGGCTCCTTGGAGCCAACACTCTTTACCCGAACTCAGCCACTGATAGTTTCGTATTTGTGTTTCGAAGGAAAACGAGGAGGCGCATGGTTTCAAATTTTGCGGGGCGCGAGAAGAACTTTTGTTTCTGTGCGTAATAACTCTCGGTGGCGTAAAAGAAAAGCAAAGAGCGTTCAAGAACGAAAAAGGGGCGGAGTCTGAAACGTTTTGCAGAAAGAAACACAAACAACACAGAAAGTAGTTTGGAAAGTGATAGTAGTGGCACGAGGAAGGCCAAATTGGCAGTTCGCCATGTGGATGGTGATACCTATGAACCTAGGGGAGATCACAGGTAAGTTGATCTTTTAGGAGTTCGTTATACTAGGCCATGAGCGTAACACTTCTGGATTACCATTTTTGGAAAGTAACGAAGAATCCTTTTGTAATATGAAACCAATTTTGATAACCTTATTTGTTTTCAAATAATTTCAGAAAACAGCCTTGAGCCACAATAATCACTATGAAAACGTTCCATATCGTAAAACTATAGAAGAGCCTCGACAATCTCCAGTTTGCCCTCAATTATCTCAATTCCTAGGCGAGATTTCAAAAATGTGTCAACTGAAAAAACACTTCTGAAATTATGACAAAGAACTTTTTAGTTGACCACTTTTTATCTTTGACAGGAACCGAAATAAATCTCAAAGTTAAAAGTTAAAGGCACTATCCACAAAATATCTGTGATAGGTAAGATCCATTTTCATCCATTCCGATCAAATTGGGTTCTGAAATATCGGTGGCCCACATCTACTGCCTAGATGCCGTCTAGTTCTTTTTCGATAAAGTTCTCCACATCTTTCAAATTTACCTGTGCCACAATATTGTGTTTTTAACACTTATCTGACACATCTGCTGAAATAAAAAGGGGCTCGTCAAAATCCCTCCTTGCCTCTCTTCACTTTTTTTTCTATTTTTTTGGCTCCTTTGGCAGGTGGAAGCTCCTGCCATCTCATAAACATTCGAGCACTGATTTCTCTTCTTTGACCTAGATTCTTTTTCCGTTCCATCTCGTTCCCACCTCCATTAATCTTCATCTACTACTCAGCCTTATCTTTTGAAGCTCTTGATATTTTTATCGCTTCACAACACTTGTTGTTCACTGCAAACAATCCGAAGAAGACGATGTCAACACGTTCTATCTTCCCTCAGTAATCCGCTGTCAAATCCAGTGCCATTGGAGCCCATCAGTTATCAGAGGAATCCAGCAAATATACATTTTTTGGAGAAAACAGAAAAAGTAGAGAACCACATAAACAACTGGAGTCTATTCTTTTTTGTAAACTGCTGTCAACTGCTTTTCTTTTTTTATAGTCCAATGTCTTTGAAGCTTCTCTTTAAAAATGCCAGACTTCTGAACCGTCTTGTTTGTTATTATTGTCCTACGTGCACTTTGCCATATTTTCTATATCCCGCCACACTTTCAATTGCTTTTTTCCTCCTTCTTCTTCTTCTCCTTCTTTTATAACCCCAACGTTCTTTCGTCGGAGGGCGTAAAAAAAATAGAAGCCCGAATGAAATCACGAAGAAAAAGAAATGGGTGGCGGAGAAAAAAAAAAGAAGAAGAAGAAGTAATGCAGAAGTCGTGCAGAACTTGCTTCGGGCCCACTTCTTTTTTCATTCTCACACGAGAGCTTACGCTATTTTTTGTTGGGATCTTCTGCATTTTAAATGATTTCTTCTGTCCTACCCGTACACATTTTTTGTTTGTCTGATTTTACATGTTGCAATTATTACATTACGTTGCTGAAAGTGCTCTTTTCAAAAAGTGATAAGAGGTAATGGCACGGGAAATTAATAGCGACTTTGTCGGCTGGAAAACCCTTTCCGAAATAGGAGAATCAGTCCAAAACTCAAACATGCAAAGTGAAAGTGTGACTTTTCATATTGGTTACTGTAATCCAAGCACAGAATTTTTTCGACTTTTTGAAAACTTTTTTTCTTACTGATATTTCAAGCTTTGTTTTGTTCTCTATTCACCTAAAAAGCATTTGCAAACTTGATTAGGTCTTCGTTATATAAAAACATTTTTATTTTGATTAACTTTTAATAGGAAAAACGTGTCAATTGATTCGAATTAGTTTCTTTACTCTCTTCCACTGTCCAAAACATCCACTGTCTCTTCTCTCTTCATTAATCTCCTTCATTTGAATTGTTTACTCCAATCCTCATTAATTCAACTATTTTATGTTTTTCGTTCTTTTCTCTTCATATTTTTTCTTCTAATCACGCTATTGTATTCTACGAATAATATGAGAGTGTGACAACTTCTGGAACATTAAGTATGCCTTCTTTTCTTTACCCTTTTTTCTTTGACAAGGCCAACAAACATTCGGTGATTTTTTGTCTCGATTCACGGTTTCTTATCAACTGAAGATGATTACAACGGGTTTCCAAAGGTTGTATTTGTGTTGCCTAAACTAGAAATTAGGTTGGCCTAAAAACGTTCGCGCGAAAATTGTCATCTCGGATTATAAGCGTGAACTATCCAACATGACCTGGAAAATTTATAAATGACAATTTTTCTTCTAAATTACAACCTAAATTCTCTGTATCCAGAATTTTTGCTTTCGGTGCTTTGATAGTCAGTATTCAATGTGAAAAAGAAACATCCTATCAGCCTACAGTAACCCGCAGCAGAAAACTTAATTTTGAATTCCTCAGTTTGGCGCCGTACATTACAGCAGCTTTGCATCTTTTGAAAAATGCGATTTTTTTCAGTGCAATTTCTGATTTTTCCGATTAAAATGTTTAAAATTCCAATCAAATTGCTTACTTCTCTGAAATTCCGGAGCGGCGGAAAACGGGTGAGTTGGCGTTGTCTCTGTACTTTTTGGCGCTGCGTCTCCAGCGATGGGAGTGCTCCCTCTCGTTCTCTATCTCTCTTATCTCTCTTCGACTGAGTGTTCTTTGCTCGCCCTCTTCTCTTTTCATCTACCTCCATACACTCTTCCCCCCATCGTCGACGTTTCTTTCCTCCGATGTGTGGACCTCCTTCTTCTTCTTTGCCAAACCTCTTACTACCTACCTGTTCCGTGAAGTGAGCTGAGCACTGGGAGCAAGAAGAAAAGAAGAGTGCTCCCACCTGTTGAAACAATCAGGGTCAATCTCAGTCAGCTTTAGGAGGTCATTCTTTCCCCCGTCCATAAATGTACTTTTACACTGTATGTTTGTCTCCACGCGTAGCTTCCATCTCTTTAGACTACGATTTTTTGGCGCGGAAAAAATTCAAAAAATGCATGCAGAATTTTGCGAAGTCTTCCTGCTCGCTCGCTGCTCCTACATAACTCTTCCTCCCTAAAAGTTGTATCTATTCTGAGAGCTTGATGTCTTCTAGACGAATACTTTCTTGTTCCACTTCTTCATTCAACGACCTTCGTCGCTTTTGGTTTTTCGTTTTTCGGCCTCCATCGCCGGCGACAAACGTCATACGCCATTCATTCAATTGTATTGCAGACGCTGACTACATCGACCAGTTTCCAGGACATCGAAATGGATGAGCAAGATTCAGGAATGGAAATGATGTTGACTGCAATGGTGGCGCCGCTCGATGATGATCTTCCATGGCAATTCGATGACCAAATTCTAAAGGAGACCGGTTAGTATACTGTTTTGAACTATGAGTAAATATTATTGTGGCCAATATTCTACAAATCTTTCTATTTCTTTTGTATATAGCATTTCAGCAATCCAACATCTGCATTGTTTACAGTTAACTATTTTCCAGACACCCTCGATTCTGCAGCACAAAGTCCATCCTCAAGTCTGTTCTCGGACTTCGACGACTCTTGCACATCTTCATTTTCTTCGTCACTCTCCTCTCCATCGTTCTCATCGTCTTCGGATACAGGAAGTGAGTCGCCTTAACGATCCACACGTTGTGTGTACAGTTCGTCCTTCATTACAGCGAGTTCGCTGTCTTCGTTTGACATGATGATGAGCATGTTTCCTGATCCAGCGATTCCAACCGTCAGCGAAGAAACAACAATGGCACTACCTCCACCAGTGCCCGTTCGGAAAAACGTTGTCGGTAAGCTCATCAAAGGCAAGATTCTGTCAACTTGCAGACGTTTTCAGTACGAAGACGTCCTCGGGAATGCTCTATGGTTTGCTGGCTCTTCAGAACGTTACTGACATCCGAGTATCGAGCACTACCGGTTAACGCGATTTTCGAAATATTCGAAGAAACCGTAAGAACGAATCGAGCGTTTTCACAGTTTTGAATCCATTTATAGATGCAACAAACGACAGCTGGAAGTGGAAGACATTTTCGACAATCCATTCGACACTGTCTAATGACATCTGCCGTCTTCGTACGTGTGTTGACCCCAAACGTAAGCTCTTTCTTCAGTATCAAATGTCATCGCTTCTGCAGTGTAACTTTTCTCGACAAAACCGAAATCTCAAAAAATTCTCGCTACAAAAATCAAGCAAATAGGTGTTGGCTAATATTTCAGACAGGTTCTTACTATTAGAAAGACAATCAAACTGAAACGTGCAAATTGTAGTATTTATCGAGTTTCGAGTAATCTTTGCACCAACAATCCCCAGTGTTGTTTCGGAGGCGAAAGCTGTGTGATTTTTTGAGACGAGAACAAATAGGAGTAGCACGCGGAAAATTAGAAGCAGCGTACGTACTGTGCTCTCATAAGACTGTCTTCCGCAATAATTTATGCGAGAGAAAATCTGCTCAAGCGAAGTAAACATACCAACTACAAGATATACTGTAGTCATTCAATGTTTCCTTGTCAAGGTTGAAAAGAGATGACCGCGGTAATCTAATATTAGCGCTATATATCGCGGGGAATCTGTACTCATTACTGAGAAAGACATAGGTGCAAAGTACATTACGACAGCAGAATTACCTCTGGAATTATTTTCGAAAGAATTTGTTCTCTGAACTTCTAGCATCTACCGATGTTTTCGACGTCTGCAATCCCAAAAAAAATTAGAAAGAATTCGCAAAGTTTTTGCCTGAGGCGTTTTGTTTTTAACGACTTTTCTTCCAACGAAAACACTCAAATATCATCAATTTCTTTCAGCCTCGAAAAGATTTTCTGGTGATGAATGAACAAGGTTCATGGTGGACGGTGCATCCAGATTGTGAAACTGCCTGTGCAGAGCACGTCTTCAAAAGCGGAGCTGTTCATCGTTGTCCTCCACAAGCTTCGATTCCGGCGTACTTTGCTAGGTATTCAATATTTCTGTGTAGATGTCTCACATATATTAAATTCCGAAACAAAAAAAAACACAATCGGAAGCGTGCCCTTCGATCTCTTATCAGTGTAATCACTCTCATCGTGCTTTCTCCTATCTCTTCTTCCCACATGTTTTCCTGGGAACACTGAAACATATCAGAGATCTCTATATCTCGTGAGAAAAAACGTTGCCACTGTAGAGGGGTAAAACGTGTTTTTCTAGCCTTTGTTGCACTCACCTATTCTCCCTCTCAAATTCTCGTTCCTACGATAGGTTGCAACCAAATATTTGTGTTGCACGCATCTTCGTTGGGTTCTTCCTTTTCTCTCTCATTTTCTATCAAACCGCGATCTCATCAATACTTTTCGACCCGAAAGAAAATCTCCCCGGGGCTTACAACACGCACCCAGAGTGTGCCACCGGCATTTGATATCATGAGAAGAAGAGATGAGTGACGATGTGAGCCTCAAGCGATGAGTGTAATAATTTGTTTTGTTAGTTGCTTATCGCAATTGATGAGATAGAAAAATGAGGAAGTGTTGGGAAAAGAAATAAAAATCAAGTTTCAGAGTTCGAATGGAAGAAGCCAAATCTGCGAACGTCGTTAATACAAGCGGCGGTCCTATCCGAGCCCATTTCGGATATTCGTCATCACCGTCGTCTGAATGCTCGTCAACATCTTCATCATCTGCTTCTTCACCAGCTCCATCTGTAAGCGTACGGCGGTTTGATCCCATTCGGAAAAACACATTCGGAACAATAAACTCGGGACCTAGAGTTGCTTATAAGCCGTTTCCTACAAAAGGGTAGGTCATATCCTAGTGCGTGTGTCTGTAAGAGTGCTAGATTAACTCATTTTCTATACAACAGTCTGTAAAATTATTCCATCTAATCAAGTTTTTTTTCCAGATTCGCTCCAAAAATTGACACAGGACGGATGGCAACTGTTCAAACCCCACCGACACTTGTGAATCCGCGTTCTATACTTCTTAACGACATTACCGTGGATCATGAAGAAGTCGTTTAATACACCGATCATCAATTAATTAGAAACGGGAATATTCATTGTGCCAAAAAGCTTTCCTTTATCTTTCTTTGTTAGTAATGCATTTTAGTTTAATTACTCTCATCAATTCTTTGCTCATTTAAAACTTAATAATTCTCAGTTGATGAAGAAAAAAAAACTCAAAAAATTCACAATCTCTCAAATCTCATAATACGGTGATCATTCTTTTTTCTTCTGTAACAGAAGCTCTACTCCCTTTTCCAGCTCTCAACTTCATGTTTTATATTCCTTCGTGTTCTAAAAATCAAAATCTTTAATTTCTTTTTTATCTTCTGTCATTTACCCCCATACTATTGGTTGTGTATGCGTGTTTTTTTTCTTTTCTAGAAGTATGTCTCATGTTAATGTAGATGATTTACGTTTGCCTTCTATATTCTCCAGAATTTTCTAAATCCCTAAAAGTGTTGTTCTACTAATAAAGGTCTTTTGATTCTTTTGATCTGAATTCATTCTACTCGGCAAAAAAAAACAATCAGAGGCAATCAACAAAGCAATTTTTCTCACGTGCATTCTGGAGCAGTTTTATCAACTCTTGGTCCATGCAGGTGTTAATTGGGTCATATGCTTTATAAGAGAAATTCCGAACTAGAAGTAATAGAAAAAATAATGGAATTATATCTTGGTTGGTTATATTTGGTACAATATCTTCTAGTTTCGGAAGTGAAAGCAGTGAAATGCTTCCATGACCATCCATATTTGGAAAACTCGTAAGTTTTAAATTTATGTGTAAGAGAAACACCGGTGGCCGTTGCCGAAGATCCTACAACAACAACTACAATAACCTAAAAAGTTTTGTTCATTTCCGTGAATTTTCAGTCAATTTTATACTATCAAAAACTGATTTCCCCACTTTTTTTGAGGAAAAAATGCAGAAAAATCGACAGTGAAACACAAGAAAATAAAGCCTGGAATTAGACATATTTTTAGGTTACTGTAGTTGTCAGTGTGGGACCTTCGGCCACGGCCACCATCCGAAAAAATCAAATTGAATTTTTAGCAAAAAAAAAATCAAACTTCATTAAGCCAAGGATGAAACTTTTTTACTAATTACGACCTTAAAACAGTTTTTTTTCGACAGAATCGGCCTCCAGTTTGGATTCTCATTCATTGAGAAGAAAAGCCATCTTGTAAAATGATGCTTCGCTCTAAAATTTCGAAATTTTCAAAAAGCGGGCCGGCCCGCGGGTCGGCCATGTGTAACCTTTTCCGGCCAGGCCCGCTTTCAGAAAAATCTCAGCCCGGCCATGGGCCGGCCCGGCCCGCTCCGGCCGGCGGGCCGGCCATCTTTTCCACAAGTGTGAATAATATCAGATCAATTCAGAACATGCGAAGGTGACTTCTGCGTAGCAATCCGCCCAGGTTATTTTTCAATGGGAATGATACGGGTACCTTAATTCTTCAATTAAGATTTTCTATGTATGTTTCAGACATGTGTCTCTGGCGCAAGTATGCCACGATACCCATGCTCATTGCATTTCGACGATGAGATGGAATGTTATTGCAAGTAGGAAACTTCTGTTATTTATTTTATAACTTTAATTTTTAGCACAAACTTTTGCAATACTCCTCATTTGTTTCATACTGAAGATTTGAAGATTCTTCCGATCATTGCATGTAAAGAAGTACACGACAGGACTTATGCTCCCGTTTCTTGTAATAATTGTCTCAGAATTATGGTTTATGTATGATTTTTGCCATTTTTCAATTTCTAACTTAGCAAAGATTTGCAGTTGAAGTATGACACTGCTACAGAACCAACAGAGGTTTCTGATGACATTCAATGTGCCAAGAATGGAGAATCCAGTTTATTCGTTTTTGATCCAGTATCCTCCCCAAAAGAAATGATCGCTAGAAATTTTTTCTCCAATGCATGTTATAATGTGTCAATGCATTCTGAACATTTTCATGTCTTTTGTAGATGTAATCAGGTCGGATACCCGTAAATTCTGTAATAGACGGGCCTCTTAACTTCCAATTCTGAGCCTATTTTTCTTGGCTGTCAAAGATCTGAAAAGGTTGTCAACTGATAAATTGTTCACCATAATATCAGGAGTATTTTGTCAGTTGACACATTTTTGATATCTTGCACAGTAATCAAGATAATTGAGCTCCAACTTGATAGTGTGTGAGGCCCTTTTATTACAGGTTTTGCCCGAGTTTCTAAATTTATGAAAAATCTGATAAAAATTCAGACAAACTGTAACACTCCTGAATCTGATTTACCGTATCCTATACCTCCACCTACATTAACCTGCCACACTTCTGGGTTTGATGATGATGTTAATAGAAAGAAATATCTGAACGAAAGCGAAGAATTTCAAGAGTTTTATCAACGTTTGATGATAAACGACAGTTATTTTGATGAAGGAGGTCAGCGCAGTATTTCAAAGTCAGCCATAAACTTTAAATTTCAGTGGAGTGTCAAGGTCATTTTTGTTTCATAGCGGTCGATGAAGTATACATAAAAAATAAACTCAAGAAGGTTCACTACAAAGGATGCATTTCAGCCAATGAACATGGAGATAACAAGCTTCAGGTAAGAAAAAAAAAATCACAAAATTCAAATCTTGATTTTTCATAGCTCGGATACTCTCTTCTCAATGATTATCCATATTACATTTGCAACTCAGATTACTGTAATTACAATATTCGAAGTGTTCTCGATGACTCCAAAAAGAATTCAAGTATAGTCAATTATTATTCCAGAGACAATTTCCAACCTAGTTTTTCATTTTCATTTTGTTGTTTCTGGATTTTTGGCTACTATGTCTCTTATTTTTTCTATTGTTGAAATAAGGTGACTCAATCCTAATTCTTATCCTACGTATTCTGCCAACGGTGTTATGCCTTTTTCGCGAAAAAAGTAATAAAGTCGTTTATCCACACTCAATCTTGATTAAATCCAGAATGAGACGTTGAATATTGACCCATTTCTGATTTGGGAGAGTTTAGAACTTTCCAGAAATAAAAATGAGGTTTTGGCTTCAACTGTTTATTCTCATTTCTCTGTTTATCACCACAGACGGAGTGAAATGTTTCAGAGAAAACAGTTTTCTTGCGAATACGTAAGATCTTTGTTTCATAATGTCGCGTCCAAAGTTCCCAAATCTGGTGTTTCTGGGATTAGAATGCAGTACAAAACGACCCCCATCTTCCCTAAGGTTTTCAAATTTGCCCAGTCAAAACCACTGCGACCGTACACTCACTTTGGACTGCTTTCTAGGTCCAGACATTCCAGATTTGGGAACTTGGGACGCGGCATAAAAATTTTACAACATTTCAAATAAATTAGGACGTGCGAGGGAGATTTCTGTGTTGCTATTCGAACAGGAGCTTTCGTATCGTTGAGAAAAATAAGGGTCAGGTTTCTAATTTTCAAATTCGTCTGATTCCAGAAACTTTTAGACATGCATTACTGGAGTGAAAATGCCACCGTACACCTGTTCAATGCAAGATGATGATGAGTTAGCTTGTTACTGCAAGTAATATCTATTTTTATACCCTGACCCCAAATACTGCTTTTTCTAGAACTGATTACTGTAATGATGATAAAATATTCTGGTCCAACTACACAGCCCTCCCGATAATTGAATGCAAACAAGTATTCAAACGAAAATACGTTCAAGTAGTCTGCAACAAATGCCTTCGGATTATTTCTTATGCAAGTTCAGACCTTTTTGTTAAAAAAATCACAGATATTTTTGAGGTCAAAAACAGAATTGGCCCAAGTCCGTCTGATGATGAAGAACTGGTTCAATGTAGTTTACAAGGAGAAGGATCAGATTTTGTTTTCGATACAGTATCTATGCGAGAAGAAATGATTGGGCGGAACTTTTTCGCAGATTCCTGCTACAACGTATCAATGCATAAAGATCATTTTTATATCTACTGTAGATGCACAAAGGTGAAAAACGTGAGGAAAAAAAACAAAAGTTTGTTCCAGACTGATTGTAATTCTCCCGAAGTTCCGATACCGTATCCTCTCCCACCACCTACCGTATCCTGTTACACAAGTGGATATGATGGTCAAGTGAATCCGAAAAAGTATGAAAAACCCGACACTTATTTTAATGATAATTACCAAATGCTAATGGGTAATGACAGCTATGTAGACGAGAATAGTAAGTTCAATCCACATAATTGTCAGATAATGAATTCAATTTTCAGGTACTTGCCGCGGAGGTTTGTGTTTCGTGGCATCAGTTCTAGCTCAAATTGGTGAAAATGAAATTGATATCTACTACAAAGGATGTATTTCAACAAATGAGCAGGGAGGCTATTCCATTCAGGTATGAATTGTATTGTCTAAATTCAACGGACACATTTTCATTCGGTTTTTATTTTCAGCTCGGTTACTTATACCTCAATGAGATTTCATACCACATATGCAACACGGATTTTTGCAACTTGAACAGAGAAACAGCTCTGAAATCTGCTAAAAATTCTACAATCAAAGTGGATCGTTCCATAGAAAAAGAAAAAGATGATAAGAATTCCGTTTTCAAATACAAAACTAATATGTTCATACTGTTTTTAATATCGTCACTTTTCTAATAAAAATATCAAAATTGGTTTTCTGTAATCATGTAAATACCAAAAAAAAACTTAATCTAGATTTTTCTTATTAAAAATGTCATAACAGGTGAAAAAAAGGAGATTAGGCATATGAAATTGGCGAAGTTTTCACACTTTATTTTCTATGTTGCCTGGTATTTTGATTTTTCCGTTTATCATTTTTCTTCGCTCTTTCAAAATGTCAAATGCAGTAAGATGTTTCGAGGACAGTATGTACATCGATTCTAGGTGATTCAGTGTGTGAGGAAAATTTTAGAAAGAATAAACATTTCAGAACTTGTGTTGGGGACTTTTGCACAATATCACGGGGAGCCTTCAATAGTGTCGAGAGGGTTAGTTTTGGGAAATTAATATCTCAGGATTAATTTTTGAGAGGAAACTCGAATACTCGAAACCTGAAATAATTTTTTTTTGAGACGAATCTTGAAAAATGTTTAGCTTCAAGAAAATGAATTTTCAGAAAAAAAATTAAAAATTATTGATTGCATACTTGTAAACAGGACCTTGTCATAGTTTTTTTTTTAACAAGGTTGGGGACGAAAAGGGCCTAAAAACAGGCGGGTCCCCGCCCGGCGCGGTTCGCCCCGGATATCCGACCGGATTAACCACTTATAATTTTGTGTATAGACAAAATACAGTTTTCCAAAAATATCATTTTGTAGTACCCGTCGAGTTCTTTCATGTCTAGTTGTTTTAGTTAATTCAAAGATATTTATTCTAAAATAAGCTATGCCAGGGCCCGGTTTACAATTATGATTTATTGTTAAATAAAAAATGTTCAGTCCTGTATCGCTGGTGCTACTAAACCATCCTACAATTGCACGTTGGACTACGATGATAATTTGGTTTGCTATTGCAGGTACCGTTTGCAGGTTCGGATCCTGAAAATAAATTCCACAAAATTTCAGCACCGACTTTTGTAACGTCCCAAACTTATTTCACACAAACGTCTCTATAATTCGAATAACTACATGCAAATCCATAGTTCAAAACGTTTATCAAGAGAAAGCATGTAATAAATGTATCAGGATTATTTCATATGTATGTGTTCTCTCAACTTCTCGAATAGTTTCTCTCGAAAAAAAAAAGTTTTCAGCTTAAACGAGACAGATATGACATGGATAAGTACCCGAATCAGAATACAGACTTGAAAGATTTGAACGAGGAAGTTAATTGCAATACAGATGCAGATTCTGGAGATTTTCTAGTGGGCTCAAGCATTTATATGCCAGAGAGGTTACTTCGAAATTTCTTTGCAAAGGCTTGTTATAATGTTTCAATGCATCGGGAACACTATTATATTCACTGCAGATGTGTGGAAGTTTGTTTTTCTTTTTTTATCACTCCACTTACCGTATTTTCTTCGATGGAAGCTCGCCCAAACCTTCAACTTTAAGCACAACTGTTTAGATTCATTTGGAAGATATCAAACATTTGTCAACTGAAGCATTTTTTACCTTAATATTACCATTATTTTATTAGTTGACAAGTTTTCGATATCTTTCACAGGATAATTGAACTAAAAGTTTACGGCTTGGATGTGCTTCTATTCTAGGAAAAACGGTAAAATATTCAGCCGAGCTGTAACACTCCGGAGACTCCAAATCTACCGTACCCCATAATCCCCGGAAGAACAAAATGCTTCACAAGTGGATATGACGCTGACGTTGATAACAGAAATTACGAGAAACCAAATGTTCACTACAAGAACAACTATGACTCACTGCGAACAAATGAGTCATTTGTGGATGAAGGAAGTTCGTATTTCTATGCATAGGAATTTATATTGAATGCTATATTTTCAGGTGAATGTGAAGGGCACTACTGTTTCATTGCGGTTTATGTTATTTACATTAATAATGGTGCAAATGAAACGTATTACTTTAAAGGTTGCATATCAGCAAACGAACAAGGGGATCAGAAATTATCGGTGATTCCTGATCACTTGTTCCTCTAATGTCAATGATTTTCCAGCTAGGATACTCATATCTCAATAGTGTTCCCTATTACATCTGCAACTCGGATTACTGTAACCTGGACATGGAAACTGCTTTGGAAGCAGCAAAAAATACGAGCAATTACCCTCAAGATAACAGTTCCATGAGAAATTCACCCTCGATTCTTATTTTATTCTTGTTTCTTTTTTTTTGTAAAATGATGTGTATTGATTGTAAATGACGCATTGAACATATCATTTTTTCAGATATTACCCTTTAAAAATTTCCGTTCTGGAATGAATAATAGTAATATCTAGTTGAACTATGCTTCCGGATTTAGAAACTTTCCGCTGCCGCCTTCACGTGGTTCCAATTTCCATTTCAGCTGCTCACTGCTGACGAAAGAAATAAAAAGGAGAACCTACTGCATCACATTATTTGCATTTATCATTAAAAAACAGGTTTAAATAACACTTTGTTTATCCATTACAAATGAATTTTGTTCACAGTGAAATTTTTCCATCAACACCAGGAACTCCATTCGCTGAAGTAAGACGACATTCATTTCAAAGGAATTTGCTAGAATATTTTCAGATAGATGACACCATTCCAGATTCTCAGAAGAACGGGATTTACTATTTTGTTATCATTTTCTTTATTCTATCAGCAGTTGCAGCGATAGTTCTCACTGGGGCATTTTTAATTGTATCAATTTTTCTTTGGGGATATTTAAAACCGGTCAGTTTCTATATAACTGTGTAGATTTTAGATTTTCCTTTTCAGATGAAGTTCTTCTGGTTCCTGGTACAAATGACGTTTTCAGCATTTATCGTTTCTTCTATTAATTTCGTATTTAACGTTCCAGCTACTTTATTCTCAATTACTACGGAAAGTTTTGTACATTCGGGTGAGTGCCTCTAAAAAAATAGTGTAAAAATTTGAATGTATCAACTATCAGACCTTTATCTTGTAATGTTGTACTTGATTGATTTCTTTCTTCGTTCGATTCTCTTCTCTAACTTGGCAATTGCAATTCAAAGATTTTTCGTATTCTTTCACTCGGACAGAATAGACGCTATATTCAATTCGTAAGTTTCCAAATTTGGTGTATGGCATACTTGTAAAATTCCGGGCCGGGCCGCCAAAGCCCGGGCCGGGCCTGTGGAAAATTTCAAGGCCCGGTAGCAAAAATTTTGTCATTTTGAACCGAATTTTGAGCTCTCAATACAATTTTCTATATTTTTTGTGGTTTTTGGATTGTTTGTCTGTTTGATCAAAAAATATCAAAAAAAAACTCGAAAAAAATTTTATGATCGAAAAAAATCACATAAGGCTCCTCTTGTGTTTTTTGAAATTTTCAAAACTTGTGGAATGACAGGCTCGCCGGGGCCGGANAACTGACAATGANAGAAAAATATATTTGGCTCTCAATGATCATTCTGTCAGTTTACTTGATCGGAGACATTTCGTAAGTTAAATTTCTATTTAACCAAAAAAACTCCTTATTTTCAGGACGTCATCCGCACCATCTCCTACAGTAGTCTTTCTACATTTGGTCAATTTCAACAAGATTTTATGTTAACCGTAATCCGTCCTCTGACACCCGGATCTCATCCTGATGAAGCGCCGAAAGAA